GCTGTCGGTCTCCGCATCCCTGCTCGGAATCTGAGAGATTTTTCTGTGTTCAGTTTTAGCCCTTTGATCAAAAACAGTCCTTCTGCTAGATGCGCATCAGCTGCTAATGTTGTCTGCAGGGATTTGGACATATTCGAGACGAAAATTGTAACCCTTCTTCACATTCTATAATAGTATAATTTACTTAATTGATTTAAATTATTTTTACAAATATCCTAATATATTTAGTTGCAATTTTCTTCTGTATTTATGTCCTCCGTTACAATGTATTTCATATACTGCTTGTCTTATCTTTTATGCTTTTATTGTGTTCATGAGCTCATCTCTGTGCTGTATCTGTAATTGGCCATCAGGCTGTTGATACAGCACACAAATAATAAAGAATTGGATTGAATTGAAAAGTTTAATTGAAATCTGTGAACTAGTCCTAACATAATTAAGAGATTAATGGATATAATTTGTCCATGAATGTCCATTACCATATGTAATTTTGGAAAAGGTTAAAATAATTCTCATGTCAATATAGGGATGGCTTATAGATTTTCTTTTTGTGTAGTCTGACTTAATATCCCTTCAACATCATAGTAATACATCTCACTGTTGAAACTGCAAATATCTATAAAGTAACTCTTAATGTTGTAGTTTTGCCAGACATCTGTGTGTTACAAAGTTGATGAATCTGGTTGGTTACTTTCATGTCCAGAGGTAAAGAAAATTTTATATGCAAACATTTTAGGACTGTTTATATGGGCATAGAATTCAGTCTTTCAAAATTAGTTTTATTTGCAGGAAAATGTAAAATTTGCTATGCAGTTGTATTGTACTTTCCTTAATGCTGACCACTCCCTCCCCATCTAGTGCTGAGGTCAAGAATGAATAGGAGCTATACTTCCTCTACCCCCAAGCGCCTACATGGTGTATAGTGGGACAGATTTACTTTTATTTATATTACTATATAATACATGTCAGTGGGCTGGTCACTCACTACTCATAAATGCACACTTTGAGACCAAGAAACCTCGGAAAAGGAGGCGGCGAAAACCCACAGCCCGGTTGTATAGCCAAGAACAACAACAACAACTGTATAATACATAATTCATTATGTGTCAGCAACCTGTTCAGTAAGACCTTTTGATGTGAAATATTTATTCAGGCAAATGAGATGAAATGACACATGTATGATATATGAAATTATTTTTATTAATCTGTAGCCATATACATATCCCCTTCTTCTCATGTGTGTGGTGTGGTGGGACTGTGATTACAGGTAGGAGCTATCAGGTTTGCCAGACTAGATCGGTGGTATGAGAACTCTTACCTTATGTGGGATAACCATGAGTCACAATTAACTGGGCACTGTTCGATTATTACAGTTTTATATCATTGCTTGTACCATTGGATTAATAGTTTATTATAAATGCTTTCATGGCTCCTTAATAATGACCACCCAGCTTCAAGCCTTGGTGAGGAAGTAGGAGCTTTTTGGGTTGTTAGCTTCCCTTCCAGCTTTTGTACAGTCGTATTAACTGACTCTGTCACCAACCATCAAGCTACTGCCCAATCATGCACCCAGGAATTGTAGCTGTACAATGTTTGTCTTACAGGTGTGCGTCGGTCTGCACTTCTTCACAGCTTCTCAACGAACGATGCATCTCTAGGAGAATACAAGTATACTGTTACAGTAGGCAATCACTCTATCAAAATAACTGGCACCAATTTGGATCTTGTTAGGGTAGGTATATAGCAGATAGAAAAGCAATACCAGTAAACAAAGATTTGGACACTTAGAATTGTAACTAACCGCATTCTACAGATTTAGGTTGCCATCCTTTGGCATTTGAATCCAGCTGACATCTTTATGATGTGTCTGTAAGATGCATTTTAATGTTATTATTCTATTTATGCTAATTTCTTGAAGGTTTTCTCCTCCCTTGGGGTTATGTAACTAAAAGTTTGCATGCTTTTATGCATTTCTAGTTTTCTCTTATATGTTGCATGTCTCACCATCTCACATTTCTTGATTGTCACCTAAACATTGTTAAATGAAGAGAACAAATTATGAAGCTTGCTGTAACATCCTTTGTACTCCCATTCTCCCTTATGTTTCTCAGCGCTTTGTTATAATTATTTATTTGTAGTTCACAGTATATTATTAGAAAGTAAGTGGCTTTGGAAATATTTCCAGTTGTGAAAACTACGTTGTTCACTGCCAGGTCTTGATTTAGTATTGTAAAGGTAATTTGCCTTTGTGCCTAATCTCATGCCATGAAGTACTGGTGCTATATGAAGTCTGTAGTTACAAGTTTGAAAATTAAGAAATAAATACTGCAGGAATGTTTTGCAGTGTTGGCATTTGTGTTCTTTCCTTTCGGAACTTTGTCTAACAACTGACATTCTCTTACAGACAGCTAAACTTCTCCTTGATGAACATTTCAATCAAGACCCAGAACAGTCCATCCATACTTCGTGAGTAGTTTTGTGTGTGTGTGTGTGTGTGTGTGTGTGCCTGCGCGTGTATCTGTGCGTGCTTTTTGTGTGTTGAAAGGGGGGGGGTGAAGAGGAGTGCAAAATGAAATGGCATAAAGTTAATTTCCTTTAACTCTCCTACTGCCATGCCTAGAGATACAAGCCATATAAGAATTTCTTCAGTGTATGTATAATTCATGGGAGACGTCTGTTGTAAAGTGACTTCTTATTGTGATTGTACTATGAAGAATAAATCTCTGGTACAATAATACATAAGCCCACCATTGGACATGATTCTGATCATTTATATCCACCTCCCATTCCCACAATCTCTCCCCTTAACAATTGTATTACTGCTATTCTCCTATCTCCTACTTTTTCTCATGAGTACATAAATATGTTAAGGTCACAACTTTTGATCTTTAAATTTCTCGCTAACAAAGCACTTTTGTGTGCACTAAAATGATTTAATTTTTGTGCATTTTTATGTGATGAACAGTATGTGTAATATTTTCTTGGAGATGTGTACAATTTATATACCTGGACATAAATGTGTGGTTCTTTTTGAGAGCCTTTGATAAGTTTCATATTGGGGGGGGTGGTCATAATTTTGTTTAGCTAAATCTAATTAAGGGCGGTCAGTTGGGTGAGTAAATTGTAAAAAAATTGGTAAATGTGGATGTACTAAGGTGATTTCTCTGACAGTACATCAGTAATTTATTCACCTTATCTTATTGGTTTTTATTCAAGGTTGTACTCTTATAATTTTTCTCAAAAAATATAATGCTCTTCTCTATGTAATTTTTCCATTTTATATTTCCTTATGAGCGTGTTGTATAAAACTGATGACTTTTCATTAACTGAAAATTAACACATGGTTTATTGGTAAGAAGTTTTATCTAATACATTATTTCCAAGATTCAGAAATAACTTGGGAGATCATGATTCAAAAAATGTAAAATGAATGAAGAATGTAAGACTTGAGGTTCTCACAGCGGTGAGTATGAAGATGTTAACATCGACCAGACTACACAGCGCAATAACCCAGAAGACGGATATCTGAATGAAGAATATTTACTGGTCAAATCTGAACTTACTTTTATGATTGAAGCTGAAATATACCAATAGATTACAATGAAGTCTAAAGCTTCTTAAATAAGATGATATTGGATGTGTACAAAATTATGTTGAAGTTGCATCTTTGTCAAGAAGCTCAAATTTTGTACAGTGCATATTTAAATACAGAAAATTCCATTACAAATAGGTTGCATTCAATAATTTTGTTTTTGTGTGTTTAATCGGAACTTAATTTTTTACAGACAGAGTATGGTGCTTGGATTCCCAAGCCATCTTACAGTATCCTATCTAACCCATCAGTACCAGAAGGTTTAAGTCAATAGAAATCAGTTGATGATAGAGGAGTTTGGGCTTTAATTTAGCAAAAACTGCATACTTCACTGAAATGACTAATTTCTTCAGTTTTTATCAGATTCCATTAAAATTAAGCAGGGAAGTCCTGTATTATCTGCAGAATATTTGGATTTGATTTGCATTACTGTAATGATTAAAATGATTAATCACTTTCTTGATGATATAAAGAAAATGGGTCAGAGGAGGAGAGGTTTGGTTTTATTCACTTTGGTAAATATTAATATATGCTACAAAATTATGTTCAACTTGCAGCTTTGTCAAGAATCTCAAATTTTGTCCAGTGCATATTTGAATACAAAAAATCCCATTACAAATAGGCTGCATTCAAAATATTCTTGTACCAGAAGATGTAAGTCAATTGAAATCAGCTGATGATAGAGGAGCTTGGGCTTTAATTTAACAAATTAAAATTAAATAAATATATTAATATATGCATCTTTATCATGTTGTTAAATTCTCGTGTTATGCCCATTCGTGGTATGTGCAGTGATAAACCCAGTGTGGTGACAAGCTGTCACTGCTGGAACATGCGTAATCATTGCCAATGGAAAGAAAATGTTTCTGCATTAACAGGAAACGAACATCACACCATCTCCATCACTTTGCAGGACAGGAAAAAGTAGTGCAATTTATAACTAGGTGAATGATGCTTCTGCATTTGCTTCTTATTAAGATGTGAATTAAAAGTGATAAATGTACACAAAGAAACAAATATTCTAAATGTGTTAATTTGCAAACTCTAAGAATTTGTACACATTGTTTGCTGATTGACATGATCAACTATTTAGTGTTGAGAATGTAGGCAGAATGTGAGACTGAGTTTACTGTTTTGTAGTAAATTATAAAGTAAGACATTAATATATTTTTATTGATGTGAACACTTTTAATAATAGGTAAATAAAATTCATGACACTCATACAGCTGGATTGTAATTTTTGGAACAATGTGTATTGAACAATGATGCAAACATCCTTTTATATTTCCTTCCCGGCCTGACAGCATTATCAGTAAATATTATTACTCAAGTTAATAATGAACGCCTCGCAACAGAATAAAAAAACTTTGTCAGTGAAAGAACTGCAGCATAATTGTTACTTGTTCCTTTGTTACACCAAGGTTAGTAATTATGAAAAACTGAACATAAATTTGACACTGCTGTGTTTCATTGCACACTGAACACTTACAGAGTATAAAAATAAGCATACAAACAAACAACAGTATGCAAAGTTTAAAAAAGAACTTGCAGAGTATCTTAAAAATTACAACTGCAAAGAATGGACCAAGCTAATAGCATATTGATAATGTGTGATGACGTTTGATGCATGATCCTGATACACTGAGCATACTGTATGGAATTGAGGGATTTGTTGGCAATTAAGTTGAAACATTGTGCATTTAGAATAGTAGTAGAATGTAGTTCTGAAGGAAAAGTTATTAAGAGGTCATTGTGTTAAAACTTTATTACAAGTAATGTTACTGTTTTCTGTTTTATTAAATTGATTGTGAGCAAGACAGGAAAGGAACTGGATCTCTTTATGTTCAACAAAATATTCATAAAACTGAGGCTTGGATCAGTAATATGAATACCAGTACATTTGTGTAAGGGACTGGAAGATAGATTAACTGTATTTGCTCAAATGTAATGGGCACTCTTCTCTTTCAGATGTCTTGTACAAATTTGACTGATAATTATATGCACAAATGTAATTTAGTTAAACTTGTGTGTAAATAAATCTTTGAAAGATTTAAAAACCAGTGTAATAACAGCAGTTTATACTGTTTGCAGAAACCATTTCAATAAATATGTTGCAGCTCATGTGTAAGCTGATACTTTCCTTCATGTAGGTCTTTCATAATTGGACTTTACAGTATTTTCTGTGGGGGGGGGGATTACATTCTGTCAAATACCATATAAGTATTTTGTAAACTGAACTTCCTTTGTAATTAAGCATATTGACATCTTGTTTTATGTAACACCAGTATTTTTTCATGTCTTTTCAGATGCGAGGATGAACCAAAGACACCATCTACACCTTTGCCAGATGCACCTCCTGGTAAATTTTCAGCTGTCAGTAGGGTTGATAGTCAAGACAGCAATGCCACTAGTGAGAGTGATGAGACATACAAAGCTCCTCTTGCATTGGAACCTGCTTCTGCCTTATCTCCAGGTATTGATACCACCTTGGGGAAGCAGTTAGCTGTTGTTAGACAGCCACTGTTCCCAGATGCATCAAAGGAAGCTTTTGAACAAGCTGAGGCATCTGTTACAGCAATGGATGTGAATGCTCGAAATAGACGTGCATGTTTCGCTCACACAAACAGTCAACAACAGAAGGAGGACTCAGCTGTAGTCATGATTGAAAGTGAAAGTACTGGTAGGTGTATTTGTTTCAGTATTGTGTAATGAATTCTCTAATGGTATTCACCAGCTAATTTTAATTAGTTGATGGTACATGACCTGTTCTGGACTTTTGTACCAGAGTTCAGTGGGTTCTTCTCACTGCCTCCATGGGGAAGCCATGTATTTACAGTATTGTTTAGAAAAGTATACTAAATAGGCTATTAAAAATAATCAGAAATTTGAACAATTTCCTCCATT